TTGAGCAAAAACTGAAAATCGACTTTTGGTCTGTGGTCAAATTTTAGCGTGCTCTGGCTCATATAGTGTACGCTTCTCGTTGGCTGAGTATTCGAAAGAAATGAGAAGCAATGTTCTCTCGAACTTCGAATATTTGCGAAACTTGTTTTATATGCTTACCGGTATTATTTTTATTTTTGTTGTTTGTCTTGCAACGCGGCTGTCTGCAGCCGACCCTGCACTGTGGTTTTGCTGTTGCAAATGTGAGGTGTGAGAGAGAATACAGTTTTCAGTGGAAATTGTTCTTGTTTTTTTTCTTGTCTTTTTGTCTTTTTCCGCCCGCCTTCCTTTTGTGTGATATCCGTACTAGTGAGCTACCTCACGTGATAGATCATTATCTTTCTACTCCTCTGCTCTAAGTTGTATCAGCCGCGCATGCTTTTCCGTTGTGCTGCTGAGCTTCTCTGTCGTTCTAGTTCAACGTTCTAGTTTTGATCTTGAAGTCAACAGTTCCCCTTTTGTCTTGTCCTGAACTGCTCTGGTGTGATCATAATATTTGGCGACGAAGCATGGGGCAAGACGTGCAAGTCCTGCAGCAGGTCGAATCATTTCGCAAAGGTATGCCGGTCGAAGGCTGTGCATCAGTTTTCCGAGCAGAGAGCCCCGGAGTTCGCATCACCTGACCAGACGGCGGAATACAGTGCGGAGCTGCACCACACCAGTTGCTCTGGTCATGTGCGTTCCAACGTGGATCCTTATATGTGTAGTGTGAGTCTGGCTGGCACCCCTGTTGTGTTTGAGATAGACACCGGAGCGGCAGTAACAATAATCAACAAAGCGGAGTACCAGACACTGGCGTCGAAAGATACCAAGCAGCAACTCCCCAGTCTGGAGACGAATGACCTGCCGAGCCTTAGGTCGTATGCTGGCAAGATCATACCAGTTATTGGTCGTCTCATCTGCAATGCCCGCCATGCGAAGAACTCGGCTCAGCTGACCATGTTTGTCGTCGAGGGTTCTGGTCCGAATCTGTTGGGTAGAGACGCGCTGCAGACGCTAAAGCTCAACTGGAACCGAGTCTTCAATGTCACCGGAGATCTGAGCAGTGACCTCCTGAGCAAGCATCCTGATGTTTTCAAGCCCGGACTAGGCACCTGGAAGCACGGCAGTGTCAAGCTTGCAGTCGACCGCAATGCTAGACCTCGCTTCCTGAAAGCTCGCTCTGTGCCTTATGCTCTACAGTCTGCCGTGGAGAAGGAGCTGGACAAACTAGTCGACAACAATGTCATTCAGCCAGTCGAATTCGCTGAGTGGGCAGCACCGATTGTGCCAGTTCTCAAGAGCAATGGCCAAGTCCGCATCTGTGGTGATTACAAGTGCACTGTTAACCAGGCAGCCAAGACAGATAAGTACCCATTGCCGAACATAGAGGATTTGTACGTGAAACTTGCTAATGGCTGTTGCTTCACCAAGCTGGACCTCAGTCAAGCTTATCTCCAATTACCACTGGATGAACAGTCTAAACTTCTTACCACCATCAACACCACAAAGGGACTGTTTGTGTACAACCGACTGCCTTTTGGTGTGTCTTCGGCCCCGAGCATATTTCAACGTACGCTCGACCAATTGCTAGCTGGAATACCAATGGTCGTGATCTACTTGGATGACATCCTTGTCTCTGGCACTGTTACGTTTTCTTACTCTTAGTACTCCCTTGTGCCATTGTTCCAGCAGATGCTGCAGGTGTCGCTGACCTGCACAGTTTGTACGAGTACTTGTAGATTTATGCAGTGCGTGTCTACAGCTGTATTTGAATGTGTGCGTAGTGCACAGTTGCAGTTGTGCCCTAGGCCCTGTGTCTGTGATACGTGATTTGTGGTGCGTGTTAGCTTACACGTGGGAATGCTACGCGCTTTCATGTGACCTGCGTTACTTCCTTCTCACTGTACTTCCTTTTATGCATGTATCGCTGGCATATGCGACACTGGCCGGCCGGGCCGGAGTGTGTATTGGTTTTGGAAGCATGTGCCTTTTGTCCTGTGAGAGTTGTTCGCATGCACATGTTGCTGGCCGTGTGGAATGTTTTGGTTCTTGTTGTGTTGGACCTGTGCTCTAGATTCTACAAGTTTGTAGCTGTTGTGATTTTCCTATGTTCCATGGGTCTGAAGAATTGTGTTCTCCGGAGTGGAGTAAAACTGAACTGTGATTCGATTGTGTGCGGAAACCCGGTGTTGACGAAAGTGTGTTGACCTGGGCGCTGAGGAAAAGTAACAGGCACAACTCGTGAAGAACACGACAAACATCTGAACATGGTTCTGGAACGTCTCAACGCAGCTGGATTGCGTTTGAACCGCACCAAATGTTCATTTGCAAGGTCCTCTGTGACATTCTTAGGTCACATCATCGATGCATCTGGAATTAAGCCCACCAAGGAGAAAGTGCAAGATGTCATTGATGCAAGGGCTCCTACCGACGTCCAAGAGCTGAGAAGCTACCTCGGACTAATCAACTACTACCACAAGTTCATTCCTAACCTGAGCTCAGTACTTGCTCCGTTGTATGAACTATTGTCTTCCAAGAGTTGGGACTGGTCTCATCGTCAACAGTCCGCATTCGAGAGTAGCAAGAAGCTGCTCATTGACTCACCCGTCCGTGTGCATTACGACCCTAAACTACCAATTATTGTGAGCTGTGATGCCTCACCGTATGGCATTGGTGCAGTTTTGTCGCATGTTGTCAATGGCGAGGAGCATCCGGTAATCTTCGCATCGCGTACCCTGTCGTCAGCAGAACGAAACTACGCACAGATTGAGAAGGAAGGCCTCGCCATGGTTTTCGCTGTCAAGCGATTCCACAAGTACCTGTATGGCCAATCATTCACTCTTCAAACAGACCACAAACCTCTGCTGGGTTTGTTCAGCGAGTGTCGGCCCGTTCCTGCTATGGCCAGCGGTCGTATTCAGCGTTGGGCGCTGATGTTAGCCAACTATGACTATGAGCTACAGTACAAGCCCGGCAAATCGAATGGAAACGCTGATGGTCTCAGTCGTCTGCCGGCACCAACGCCAGAATTCCAGGTTCCCGTGCCGGCTGAAACAGTTTTGTCAATGACTGTTTTGGACGGAACTCCCGTGACATCATCGAGCGTTGCGCAATGGTCTCGCCGTGATCCAGTACTTGCATTAGTTCTTAAGTACGTCCAGGAAGGCTGGCCTAACGACGTGCATAGTGATTACCAAGCGTACTACCGTCGTCGAAGTGAACTCTCCATCATCGATGGGTGCTTACTGTTGGGGTCTCGCGTTGTCATTCCGCCCCAAGGCCGAGAAAAGTTACTGGAAGAGTTACATTTCAGCCATCCCGGCATAACCAGAATGAAGTCGCTCGCCCGCAGCTACGTCTGGTGGCCATCGATCGATGCCGAAATTGAACTCAAGGTCCGCAGCTGTGAGCCATGTCAAGCAACCCAGAAGTCTCCAGCACTACAGCCATTGCATCCCTGGGAGTGGCCAGGCAAACCCTGGACCCGACTGCACATTGATTATGCAGGCCCTGTGGAAGGCAAGATGCTACTTGTGATCGTCGACAGCCACAGCAAGTACATCGACGTGCACGCCGTTCCATCTGCTACGTCGACAGCTACCATTGGCAAGCTTCGTGAGTGTTTCGCTACACATGGTCTTCCGCAACAGCTTGTCTCGGATAATGGCTCAGTGTTCACCAGCTCGGAGTTTCAACAATTCTGCTCAAGTAACGGTATCAAGCATACCTTGGTTTCACCCTACCACCCAGCAAGCAACGGTCTTGCTGAACGAGCAGTTCAAACAGTCAAATCCGGCTTGAAGAAATTGTCAGGTGCTGGTGGAGACCTAGCGTCACGGTTACACCGCTTTCTGTTTCATTATCGCTTAACGCCTCAGTCAACAACAGGCCAGTCACCATTTCAGCTGCTTATGAACCGCACGCCACGTTCTCGTCTTGACCTGACGTTTCCAGATACATCAGCACGTGTCTTGAACAAGCAAGGTGCTGCTGTTGACCGTCGCACAGCTCGGGCGTCGGATCTCTGTTGTGGTGATGCTGTTTGGGTGATTAACTTCACATCGACGCCTAAATGGATGCCTGGTGTGCTGGAAGAATGTCTTGGTCCAGCCACGTTTACTGTACGTCTGGATGATGGTCGCATATGGAAGCGCCATGCTGATCACATTAGACGCCGTCTTCCGTCCGAGGGAGGAGAAATGCTACCCGAGAGTGCAGGCATATCCGACCGGTCATCACCGCCATCAACTTCAACTTTGGCAACTGCACAGCCGCCGTCACATGCAGATGCCGAATCACCACAGCCGTCACAGCCAGAGGTTGCCGCCAGCCGCCAGGATGTGGAATCAACATCGCTATCCTCTTCTGCATCTGCTGCACCTTCTGCTGAATCTTCTACTCAGTCTTCTGCTATCTCTGTTAATTCTCCTAGCTCTAATCTGCGCAGGTCTACACGCTCAAGGAAGTCCCCTGATCGTATGAACTTGTAACTGCAGACCTGCTGGGTTTTGCATTCAGCTCTCTGTTGATATTTGCAGTTCCTTAGTGTGTTACATTGAACTCGCTTCTCGTATCCGCAACAAATTATAGTGAACTCATTTCTCATACTATTGCTTATGTGTTCCTCATCTAATGGTGGAGGGATGTGATATCCGTACTAGTGAGCTACCTCACGTGATAGATCATTATCTTTCTACTCCTCTGCTCTAAGTTGTATCAGCCGCGCATGCTTTTCCGTTGTGCTGCTGAGCTTCTCTGTCGTTCTAGTTCAACGTTCTAGTTTTGATCTTGAAGTCAACAGTTCCCCTTTTGTCTTGTCCTGAACTGCTCTGGTGTGATCATAATATTTTGTTAAAATTTTCCGCTGAGAAACATAGGAAAACTATGTGTTGCCTAACAGACTGTCAGTAAAGAATGCATGCACATACATGTACTGGACTACATATACATGTAGCTCCCATTACCAGTAGTACACTCACCGTCACATTTCGGCACAGCAGTGTACACGCCTAGCGTGGACATGCCAGACGATCCCGAAGTATCCACTAGCATCCACGAGCCGTTCGCAGTGCACACGACATCTGTGTCACCAAGCAGAGTCAGCCCCTGACCAGCGGTGCACGAGAATGCAACCTCGGCGCCATGACTTGTGTTCGTAGTGGACAGCGAGCCATTGTTTGGTATGCCTGGGTCGCCACAGTCGACTTCTGCAAATCCAACCATGATGAGAAAGCATAGAGCTCAATGCTCAACTGATCTTTTTCAATTTGATAAATCGAATGTGATCGATCACCCTCAGTGTTCTTACGCTCAAAGCAAGCAAAGATATATGAGGGCGAAGACCAAGCTAAGCAATTTTCAACCCCGTTGTCAGAGTGATATGCAGAGTTTGGTCATTTCTACATGACGATTGCACATGTTTATTAGTAGATAATATTACTCGTGGCTGCTTCATCATAAGATAATCATTTTGCGTCTAGCTAAATCACCGTCAGATTTGCTTCAAAATAACGTCTGTCAACTCACCACCGCAATCCATCAGACCCACCAGTGGTGGCTGTGCTGGTGAACACCCACCACTACCATCGCTGTCTACAGCAATGTGTGCATTGGGAGTAAGCTGTGCAATGTACTGAAGTTGACAGTCACATGCTATGAAGTTGCTAGCCAGGAACCTGCAGCAAGCAGCAAAACAATACACTGTGAAATGCAGACTTCAGCAGCCTGAGCGGAATTCTTTGTTTCATCACGTGAGCCCGGGGAATGACCTCCTGTTGACTTACAATACAGCATTGACTTGGCATCACATACAATCAGCATGTATTCTCATCATCTGTTGCAACTGTTCATTGTCAAAATAGTACTTTTCTAAACAAATACATGAGCAAGCCAGCCACCGTCTTGAATCATTACAATAAGCAACACAATTTGCACCCACCCACCCACCCACCCACACGCACGCACGCACACACACACACACACATAACGTTACACACAAGCACACACCACACACACACACACACACACACACACACACACACACACACACACACACACACCACACCACACCACACACACACACACACACACACACACACACACACACACATACACACACACACACACACACACACACACACACCACACACACACACACACACATAACGTTACACACGCACACACACACACACACACACACACACACACACACACACACACACACACACACACACACACACACACACACACACTTACACATTGACTAGATGTCCCAGGCCCAGGAAAATGGCCGGTGGAAGATCATGAAGAAGATTGCTACTCAGGGAGCTGGACAGCACAGAAGTCGGTTTGTGACAAACAAACAAGTCAAAGTCAAGGCAACAGCAACTGATAGCCTGATGCACCTCCTATTAGAGTAGAGCCGGTCCAGGCACTCAGTACTCCTATTAGAGTTGAGCCGGTCCAGGCACTCAGTACTCCCGCACCACTTTGAACAATCGAATGCAGTAAGACTGCAAACCATGTCATTACATTTTCACACTTTTCAGACTTATTCAGAATGTTTGCCTGCCTACCTACACCCGGGCTATAATTCCTTCTTTTAGAAAAGTTCATCATGCTCATCACTAGTCAAGTCGAACCGAGGCACTTGAACACTGTTGAATAATCGGCCAGACGGAAGCGACCAGTGCTGTCCATGGCACTGAATCCGCATGACTCCCTGTCTAACTAACTTCTCAGGTGACGAGCTAGTACCATGAGGTGGTTGCTATAGGCAGGATACGGACTCTACTCAGCCCACTCAAGATAACTGAAGCTATTCGGCTAACACGACGATCCAAACCTCTCAAGCATGCATACTTGCAAACAGAAATTCACGCGGTTGCATCGCACATCAAACAAACCGACCAGAGCACCCGCTCAACCCACAATGATCATCTTGGCCAGCGGCATTTGAGAGCACAACAAAGTAGCATGCACGCAAGTGCCTAGCTGGAAATAGCATGCACGCAAGTGCCTAGCTACCCACCGCAACAAGCACTAGTCAAGTCAAGCGAAAGCAACAGTGTAACAACATGTTGAACAGTTTAATAGCCAGAAGACATTGACCCGGTGAGTAACGTCCATGGCGACTCACAGCGTGTGCAGCGCATTGCATCCTTGAAATAGCGTTGCCGGCAGGTCACCTAGGTCATTTCCAGATAGATCACTGCAGCGTGGACACACCAGGATGATTGGCATAAATCAGCGCTACCGCAAACCTACACACTATGAACTTCAAACTGTAGGATTAGCCATTCTCTTATTCGCTTGCCCTTACCAACCGGTGGATATTGGTAGGAGTAGGTTTACAAATTTCCATGTTTTTGGTTATGGTAAGACGGTTGAAAGTTGGTCGAGTTTTAAGTACAGTCAACTTTGCCAATAACGATTGTGGATATAACAACAATTCGCGAATGTTTTGTTTTTTCACGGCTGAGCGTAGCGAAAGAGTGCAAAAATGTATTTTTCACTCACAAATATTTTCGTGCATTTGCTCTTGTTCTGCGCAACTCTGTTGAACCTGCCATTGTGGTCTTTGTTTTTCGTCATGGTAGTTGAAGTTGCCCGCCGACCCACCCTGGTTTCATGGGGATCTTCCGCTGTTCTTCTTGATATTCTATGCCAATGTGTGTGGCTTATGATTATGACACACACTGACCGGTTACTACATACTATTTCTTGCTGTCTCTATTCTTGAGTCCGACTGGCAGAGGAACAGGAATTATTGAAATAGAAAGGTTTTTTGGCCGAAAGGCGTGTTTTCCTCAAGCCCGGTTGAACGGTCGCGGCTAGGAATGTAGGGAGTCATTGTTTTCAGGCGCTCCCCTGCTGCTCAGTCACCCATGCTCACTACTGGCCAGGCTGTTTCACTTGATTTTACGGCCTTTTCTTCCGCTAGCTGGCGGTTCTTTGATGGATTTAGATGTTTTCGGCTATTTATCTATTATGTGGCTGCGAGTGTGGTTTTTGCTTCTACTCATTTCTGGAAAACCACTACGGTGGTAAGCGTGATTGCTCTGGTAGACCACTACCCCATGTACTGAACAGTTGCTTTGTGAGTGAAAAGGCAGAATTTCCATGCCCAGAGCAAAGTCCCATCTAACTGTAATACATATAATGAGACTTCGGGTATAAAGACACTTCGCGTATAAATACACTTCGCGAATAAGGACACTTTTCTGGTGCCCCGCCGCGTGTCGCTATACGCAAAGTTGGCTGTACAACAAATTGCAAAATTTTCCACTTAGCAGCCCAACGTTTAACGACCTTGCCAATACGCACCCTTCTTCTATTTCTCTAGTACAGAGGAGAGAAGGAACAGCGTTTGAGCAACGTTTCTTGAGTTAACGATGGGTTTTTCTCATACAGCATTAAACTTCGTGCCTCGTTTGAGATCTAAATCCTATAGTAGATTGTATGCGGTTCCATCTTAACACTCATGGCACAGCTCGTGGTCAGCTGCTACGCATAAGTAAGAGAGCACTTAGATGCATCTTTGAGCACGACATATTCACGCGCACATCATACTTGCTTGAGAGGTACCACATAATTAGCTTAGCCACAATATATCATACTAGGTCCATATTCTTTGTGTTCCGTTGCATCCACAATATCTGCAGTTCACTCCTCTCTGACATGTTCTCCCTTCACCGTGACTGCGCTCACACAGATAGAGTCACCCGCGGCCAAGTCAATACCGTAATGTCGCGTATAACATCAGGTGCTTACGGCCGTATAAGCCGATATCAGTGCTAGGCTTCTATTCAGGTCAGGCTTCTATTTAAACCAGGTGTTTCTATGTATGTCAATACCAAAACCAGGCTTGTGTGCCGACAGTGTATCTTAAAAATCAGGCTTGTATTCAAAACAGGCTTCTATACAAGACAGGCTTTTATACAAGGCACTACAGTACTTCCCTTTCTCTACCCATTGTGCAAACTCATGCTGGATATAAATCTATTTCATTCCTTGATGATGACTGCTTTAATGCGCTTCTTGAATCCCTTCGCACTAGTCATATCCCCAATTCATTTCGCCGGGAACTTAACCCTTTGTGTACGGACTGTACAACTTTCGATCCCCTGGGATCGAAACTTTTCAAAATTTCAATCGATCGTAACTCAGTCGTTCCTGGGTTATATCCGAAAACTAAAATATGTAGGTCAAAGAGAAAACTCCCAGCTGTCCATTGAAACAATCGCTGAAGCGCTCCGATAGTGTGGTTCCAGAGTTACGAAGCTCGAAAGTCGAATCGCGGAAAATGTCGCTCAATAGCCGCTCGCGCAAATTTGAATGAGGGATTTCCCCATCATTCTGGGCATGCAGTGATGTAGAAACACGTTCAAAATGGTAAACGGACTCATGGCAGTTTGTGAATTTTTTTGAAGTAACAGTTAGTTGTTACGAGCAAGGAGAGCGAAATGGCTGATGCAAGACGACTTCTGTCGGAATATTGGCGTTGCAGCTAAGACGCTGGGCTGTAGCGCTGGCATTTTGACCTTCGTGGTGGCAAGCGTGGGCTCAATGTGTTCCTCTTGCAACGAGCTTACCAGGAAGCCCAAGATTGAAAAAATCGTCAAAAGGACACTAAAGTTATGACCCAGATAATTATTATTGAATTTGAGGTGAGTCGAGATCAAATTCAGTCTGTGTACAATTTTTTCAGTACATAAAGGGTTAACACATTCAATCATCTTGGGCACCCTGTAAGAAGACCGTAGGGTCTGTAGGGAATGTCCAAGTAAAATAATAAAATACAATAGTTTTGTTTTTTCACGGCTGAGCGTAGCGAAAGAGTGCAAAAAACGTATTTTTCACTCACAAATATTTTCGTTCATTTGCTCTTGTTCTGCGCAACTCCGTTGAACCTGCCATCGTGGTCTTTGTTTTTCCTCGTGGTAGTTGAAGTTGCCCGCCCACCCACCCTGGTTTCATGGGAGTCGTCCGCTGTTTTTCTTGACAATCTATGCCTATGTGTGTGGCTTATGATTATGACATACACCGGTTATTACATACCATTTCTTGCTATCTCTATTCTTGGGTCCGACTGGCAGCGGGGCAGGAATTAATGAAAATAGAAAGGTTTTTTGGCCGAAAGGCGTGTTTTTCCTCTAGCCCGGTTGAGCGGTCGCGGCTAGGAATGTAGGGAGTCATTGTTTTTCAGGCGCTCCCCTGCTGCCCAGTCAACCATGCTCACCACTGGCCATGCTGTTTCACTTGATTTCACGGCCTTTTCTCCCGCTTGCTGGCGGTTCTTTGATGGATTTAGATGTTTTTCGGCTATTCATCTATTCTGTGGCTGCGAGTGTGGTTTTTTGCTTCTTCTCATTTCTGGAAAACCACCACGGTGGTGAGTGTGATTGCTCTGGTAGACCACTACCCCATGTACTGAACAGTCGCTTTGTGAGTGAAAACAATACAAATCGATGCTAACTTACACTGAAGATAGAGATCGTAAGTCTTGGAATATAGCAGCTGGCAAATCAGCTAGAGAATTGGATGACAGGTCCCTAAAATGGCGATAACATACAAGCAGACAGAGCAACATGTTATCTCTATGGAAACAATATTCAAGAACATGAAAAATGGCCTACACAGCTGCACAAACACAAATAGAACCGAACTCAGTGTGACACGACAAGAGCTACTTTCACTACATACACTGCTTCCTTGTCACGATTCGATAGTTGCTACTGAGCCCATGCATGGGTGGAGGCTACAATCATAAGGGTGAAATCATCCACATTACGCCCATGCCAAACTACAACTATAAAGCAGACAAATGTGTGGAACCTTCACCATGAGGGAGCAGGGATGCTGTATAGACCAAGACCCTGCGAACATTTTTGTCAAACCTCTAACATCAGCTTACAGGAAAGTCAGGTGGGTCAGTCCATGAAATGCTTCCCAGTGAAGTTGCACAATAGCGTTGTTATGAAGGTCTCTGAGTGCGATGTAGCAAGCCATAGAACAACACACACACACACACATCACAATCATCGTCACGTCCTGTATGATTAGATGTTGACCAGCAAAAACATCAACGTTTCAAAATTGAAATAGTAGCTCCAGCTCTGGCACAGAAAGAAAGGGATGCGTGGAAAAGAGTTGTCAACACATTGACAGATTCCACTCCAGGCTGAAAACATTTTAAAAAAACTTTATAAAGGGATTGGCTTGACTCTGGTCCTATTACAATGCAAACCATGTAAGATATATACATATACGTGTTTCAGACTTGGTCGATCACATATCTGAGCTGTATGCGCACACATTACCATGAAAAGCTGCTGGTGTGTCCAGAATAAACACACAGTACACCAGCAGCAACATATAGCCATGTCGAAAGAGATTTTAAACTTGCTTACAAGTAGCGCGGCCATGGTCCGTTACCACTCCAACGCCATGATCCGGAAAAAAGGCCCAGGATAATGCTAGCCAAACAGTGGAATAATCTGCCACATGCAACCACATTACTAGTATTGCCAGCGCAAGGCTTCGTAACCGAGCTAGGATAGTGAACGGTATACGACGTAGGTGCTGTTCATAATTGCAGTCATTTATCGCAACGGTACAAACGAAGACTTTCTGAGCCCCATCCCCGTTAGACTATGCACACATAGTAAAGCCATATACGAATACTTTAGGTAATCCAAATTCACGGTTCGCCTGAGACTCAAATAGACTGCGTTTTCAGCATCCGTAGGAACACCACCCGATGAACCCGCAAAGATCAAAGGCGCAGATGCAAGATCAGCCCACCAGCAAAATGGTCAAATCGAAAATCCCATTCACTGCATCAACGTTTCCCTCGTGCCAGGCCACAAGTTCCCAATTAACTGTGGGTCACAGCAAGGCTGGAATAAATCCATGCGCTTCCAAGCAGGACTTGATCCATGTTGGGCATATTTAAAAGGTGATGGACTAAGAGATTAATTAAGACCATAATTGAGAAACAGAGGGTAGAGGAGGGTGTTTCAAATAGGAGATATGTCGCAAACCGGAACGGGCTCAATACTCACTTTCTCCCTTGGTATTTTGATTAGAAAACATGTCACAGTGAGACTACGATGTGTTTTACTCCGAGCCAAAAGTTCATGGCTCTGCGATGACCAAAAGCGCCATACCAAGCAGGTGAGTTTTTGACGTGTTGCTTCGCACTGCGACTTGAGTATTACGTCTTTCGAAAAAATCAACTTAACTTCTTGTCGCTGGTAAACAGCGGCTCGCCTCTCGCCAATAAAGCACCGCATACCAATGAAAACTAATGGAAGCACACACAAAGTTTCTCTGTACTGGCCGTCGTAGAGCGATAGCAATTCACCTGTCTTTATGGCTTACACATTTTGGCTCAAACTCTCTTATAATATTCGCTGTTCACAGTCTCTCTCAGCTTTTAAGGATGCATTTCAGCTAAAATAGTTCTGTATTGTGCTACCTGCTGTTGACACATGGTGTCACCTCCCTTCCTTTTCTTCTTTTGTTAATGTTGAACAAATTCATGCATCGCAGCCTTTTCGGACCAAAACCAGTCGACTCAGCGTCCAAAAGACTACAACATATGGGCCAATCGCGGTCATCTGTGCTTTTATAAGAACGACATGGCGCTTTTAGTGACATTTTGCATACAAATCCCCATCTAGTAGGGCGCAGTCACCCAGTTTCAGTGGAAGTGCGCGAGTTCGATTGGTAAAAAAAGAAGGAAGGGAGCGTCGCAGCTTCCTCGGACCAAGACCATTCGACTCAGCACCCCGAAGACTACAATTGGTTAAAATTTGATTTTAGGGTATACTTCCCCTTTAACTGTGAAAAAAATACTTTCTAACAAATAATGCAACTCCTACAGAAGTACCTGTTCCGTCTTCTGTGGACCAGGCGGTCGCACCTACAGTACCGACCACTGCAGATCAGCTGTCTACACCGACCAGTGACCCGCCTACCGGATTAGATTCTCCGCTACCATTTCCGGACGCTAGCAGCGACAGTAACACTGTAAGGCCGGATGATACGCTAGCCCCAGCAGCAGACGCCGTCGGAGTCGAGACGGCTCCCAGTGTTGTTGCACCGGCTCCCTTGCATCACTCCGGCCCGGCACATGTCTCCGCGCCCAAGCGCTTGGTGGAGGAGTGCTAAGTATCCGTACTATTGCCTTTGACTATGTATGTATTGCTTGTCCTGTTGCTTTGATCTGATGCGGCCGGAGTGTAGGAAGTGGACATTTCTGGGCCTAATGGATATTCTACATGTAGGTCATGACGAGCAGTCTTCACATACGATTATTTTACGTTTAATTCATTGAAACTGTTGCATGTTTTTTTCCCGATCTGCTGTAATTCGCCAACGCTATGCAATACGGGCTGACTTCATCAGTCATTCCTACCTTGATCCGGCTCGAAGCCCAGCTCTCATTGACTATTTCGGAAGCTGCAGTAACTGTTCTAAGTAGATGCGTGCAATCACAAAGTTTTTTTTGTTTTTGGCTTTTGGATTGTCTGGCCGCTGTAGTTTCAGCAGCTACCTCTATACTGTTGGCGTCAAATTAGACTGCCTCGTTGCATTCGTTCTCTTTCCTTGTCCTTCAGTTCTTTCTTTATTAGAATAACCATGCAAACCTGTGTAATGCTGTGTGTGGGCCCTTACTGCCCTTAGGGCCAGACATAACAACTATTATTAATAAAAAGTTGATGTAAGCAGTGAATAATGCCAGCAATACGCAACCTGCTTAAGATGCATTGTATTGACGTTTAGCACGTAACCTTCTCCCCCTGGCCCCCGCCACACAACTTTGCAACACCGTGATAGGTTATTTGACTTCTTATAAACAGCAAACGGCAAGGGTGCAGGAGGAGAAGAACAAAGACTACCAAAGAAAGACACCAAAGATCAAACCAAGGAACGACAAAGAACAAACTGAAGGAACAACAAAGAACAAGCAGTGATAAAATGGAGACAAATCGCGACGACCGATCAGAGACCAATACGTACAGAACACATGACCACCGCCAAGATCACCAGACCACGGACGAATCACTCATCAATCTCGCTCCCGGACCAAACTAGCACTACGCATGTACGGCACTCACTTGACAAGCAGTCACTCGCAGACAGAAGCAGGTTCTCACACTCTGACAATGCTTACCCTTGCATGCACCTCATGCCATACGCGTCAAATATCACACCATACTCACACGTACACTAGACCATTATATCCATAATACTATGTTGTAGTACGTTATTTTGTGTACGTCGGGTGTACGTGGTCTTGGTGCATACGCGTGTTGCTGTGGTGTGAAAAGCAGTCTTCGTCTTGAGTTCATCATGTCTAGTTGTGTTTCCGTAGTAGTCTTGTAGAAAACAGCCTTCTAAATGTAGTTATCGTCATTTATTTATTTATCAAACTCAATCTCGTAGCATGTGCACGCACTGCTAATGTGGGGAGCAACCCCAGAGATGAGGGCGATAACCAGCCATGGTAAAAGTACAAAAGAAAACAAGAAAACAGTGGAAAGAAAGGAACAGGGAGGAAAACAAAGCTCAGCCAATAAAGTGAGATAGCCATACATGGTAAAAGTGTGGAGATGGCACGGGACTGGGAGCAGGTGTGAAAAGTACAGTTACAACACATTATTATGACATCACAAGACAAGAACCGTACATGACAATGGGCGTAACTAACAAGAGACCCACGCATTAAAGGGGTGAAGAATACCGGCAATACGGGACCTGCTCGGGGATCTTAATAAATAAGACAGGAGCACACTGCGGAAACTGAAAACAGCACCATACCCAGGCCCACGTACAGCATCAATCTGGTGTGTGTGTGGGGAGGGGGGGGGGGGCTAGGAGGAGGGGAACTTTGTGGACTCGAACTGTACTAAGTTAGTGCATAATCAGTCTAGTAAGGTCACTTGCTGCTTAGCACCAAACAGTGAAATCATCAGGTAGAGTGGACCAGTTACATTGCTGATAACACCAGTATTACCACTGCGCTCATGCACTCCAGTGAGAGTGTGCCGGTCTGCATCCAGGATCAGCCGGATCACATCACCCACTGCCCATGGCTGTCCAAGCGAACCACCTTGAACATCATTGGTGCGTAAACCCTTGTTGGAACCATACCAGCCAAACCCAATGCCTTTACCTTGATTATAAGTGTTCTTCATCGCAGGATAAGGGGAATTGCAAAGTAATATGAACATATTTGACTGTGGCAAGGCATCCACCCGGATGCGAAGTGTATGCTGACCTTCAGTGTAGACACGTCTTCCACACACACTGTGCCACCCACTATTCGCACCCTGATAACACACTGTGCAGTTGTTATTGGAAAGCAATAGAAATGGACTGCAGCGCTCCGGATCAAACCAATTACCATAGAGGTCAACAGATGCAGGACTGCCAGAG